GGGAAATAGACAGTTCCCTTTATCCCACCAGATACAGCTGTTTTTACAAAAGCAGCACATAGGAGAACATGGGATAGAGACTGCTACAGCTGTTCAAGATGAGAGTTGAGTCCTGTCTTGTGCTTCCAGTATGGACAGTGGGGTGCGGGGTTAGTTAGAGGAGCTGCAGCAGGTAACATATTCTTTGATAAGCATTGTGTAAGAATGAGTATTTTGCCTTAGAAAAAACTTAGAAGTCTTTTTTAAATTACGTTTCCAATTCTGTGTGATTAAACAAACAGATAATCTAACACTAACTTCAATGTAAATTTGTCAATGGAACTAGAGTTGCTTACTGGCAGAATGAAGATGAATCCTTTAAATGTGGCTTAAAGCTGCTCTCTTTTTGGGCAGGGTGAGGACACTGCTACAGAATTCATTATGAGCTACATCAAGCAGAACAACTTATTGCAGGGATTGCCTTTTTACATGTTTGTTAAAGTTCGACATGGCAGGCTCACACAGCTCATCTCTACACATTATTGCAACATAAAGCAGCCTTGTCCTTATCATATTGAAGCAGCTATTTCCTTTTCTAGGTGAGAAAATGTACATATACAAGCAAAAAGAGTGACTGATTGTGAGATTTGTTTCCAACTGTAAATGTCTGTGTAACTACATATGCAGATTAGATACTGCCCTTGAAGACTTGGAGAGCAGCCAATGTGCTGCTTACGTGATGTAAACAGAGTTACGCATAAGCAGCATCTGTTTTTACAGGGTCTGTGCTACTCCAGCTTCCAAGTTGTTCAGATCAAGATTTTTCTTTTGCAGTTTCTTATCTGAGTTATCCTGCAGTTTCCTGAGTACCCTCTTAATAGCCCTTTCCTCTGCAGCTGTAAAGGGATCTTTCCTCTATGGTCTTGTAGGAATTTCACCCACGCACATCCATGACCATGCCAGTAATCGATGTTGCATCTCTACATTTCCAAGGTGCCATTGAATCCCTCACTGTTCAGTCAGTCTCTGAATTGTGTTTGATGTGAGCTGCAAGATTTCCTCCTGCCACAGGGTAGGTGTTTGTATGCGTGTGAATGTGTATGCATGCGTCTGTGTGTGTGTCTAAAATATCTGCTCTGTCACCTGCACATATAGGTACATCTATATAGGTATGTATGAAGCCAGTTACCAGCATCAGCAAGTTTGAGCCTGAAGTGGTCTACCCATAAGTCTTCATTTTAATCAAGCTTTAAGAAAACAAGAAGAACAAAACTTTGGCATTTGTATTAGATATGTGTGTAAAGAGAAACAAAGGATCCTCTTCTCCTCATAGGTAGGCTCAAGTTGAATACATAAAACAGCTGTAGAAATAATATTTGCATGCATATAAGGAGTATTTATTTTGTGGATGCAGCAGATGTGAAAATATTTGGTCTAATTCTGCAGAGAGCAATTTGGAAAACATTTTGTATGGTAGGATCTTTGATATTTATTAAAGGAATAGTGTTCTTTAAAAATTATAAATGCAACATAATTGATCAATAGTCATGGACTTGTTGCAGAAAATAAAGCACGCTGAAAGAATAACTATTTTAAAATAAATATTTTTTGTTATCTCAGCTAGTATTCTTTCTGTAGGTACTAGTCTTTGTAAAGGGTCAAATTGGACAGTCTGAACCTTAATTCCTGTAATACATCTCACACAGTTCTTTTGCTAATACCTATTCAAATTAAGAATGAGTCTATCCTAAAAGTAACTGTGGCCCCAGTGTTTAGTTTTAACAGGATGGTTCCATTTGTGGGTACTGTGTGGTTTCTGTGCAAGGAAGTGGGGTTTTCTATGAAAGCAGTGGATCCACTGTACAGCTGAGGCAGGGGATATATTAACCTATGTACACATATTTCCATCTGGTTTCCTAGCAGAAAAAAAATTGTGCAGTCATGCTATATGCAACAATCCTTATAATAATTCCTGACCTTGTTAGCTGATTTTAATCAATCCCCAAAAAGCAGCAGAGATTTCAGACACAATTACTTTCCCACAGTTTTCATAAAGACGAGTAAGCCAAGTACAGGAAACTCTTCCTGTTTATTGCCTGCATGGAGGGACAGCCTGCAGTTCAGCCTTTATTACACTCAGCCTACACAGAAGAGGACCATTCTGAATGCTTTGAATGCAGGAAATGAGCCTTTTATAATCCACACCATATTAGATATTGGAGAATCTAACCATAAGACATGCAGCAAGAGCAAATTGGAGTTTTTGAGTCCAGCTGCTCACAGCAGATATCATAGTATATCCTGAATTAGTATCCACCCTATCAGTCTGGCAGCATTCAACACCAGGGGTGCTTCCTCTTTTCTCTAGGCTGGCATAGCTAGAACCACAGAACTTTCCAGGATAGATAAGGTTTTGCCTGCAATAAAATTTCTGAAGTCAAATTCACAAGTCATTTAAAAGTGCACTTGGTGAGCAGGGTTAGGGTTCAGCTGTGAGAACCAGCAAGCAGTTAATTTCACTTCAGCCATGAGAGATAACTGGGCTCCTTACCAACTGAGTGCATGCTTTGCCCTGTGGGACCATAGGGGGGTTTGAATTGGGTGGGGTTTGTGTGTTTATATCTTACAGGGAAACTCACTGAAAGTTACCTGTTTCAGGCAGTGATGGATAGCTAGGAGATATCATTGACTGGTATAAGTTCCCGACTCAACTCTTGAGTCTTGCCCAATGCAAATAAAATATCTGCATATCCATAAGCAACAAGAAAAAAACTGCATTGAGGTTGCAAACCAAGACTCAGAACAAGGAAATGCCAAAATCAAGACCTGAAGAAACTTTACTTAAATAAGAGGGTTTTATTATTCACATTTTCCCAGTTAGACCTTTGAGAAACAGATCGATGGTATCAAAACTAGGATTCATCTCTCCACTGGAGAGTTTTCTCAGGTGTAAAGCATCCATAAAGCCTATTACATTCAGCTGCAGCTTAACACTAATGAAAGTGAGAAGACAGATTTTTATTATGGCTTCACAGAAAATCAGAACATACAAATAACCAGTTCCAGAGAGTTTGGTTTTAAGGACAGATAAAAGATGTTCGGACACTACCACGCTCAGCATCAGGGTGCCTGACTTTTGGACCCTTGGCTCTCAGTATAACATCTAGACACTGAGCGAGATACCTTAGAATAACACTCCAAGAATCAGTACATGTACACAAAGCTGCTTCAAGTAGCTAGCTGGGGATGCTTAGGACATAGCTGTGCTAAAAACCCAGTCACTCTCCATATTTAAGTACCTCATTCAGGGATTTAAAGTCTTCTCCCTCTGCCTGGAGGTATCCCTTTCTTTAAAATGCAGCCAGAGGGTCAGACTTTTAAAACATGTCTGGAAAACCTCCCTTTACCTATCTCTTTCCATTGATAATGGTTCAGCAGTTAGACTACTGCCTGAGAACGTTAGTGAACTGGATTCAACTCCTTCATGACCAAATGGGAAGAGGGAGGTTAATCTTGTCCTCCGGAACAGTACACTCACCCACCCCACCAGCAGGAACCTGTCAGGGCCCTGATGGCACTGCTAGGTCTTAATGGCCCTGAGCAGCCTCACCTGGGACCCCCACCTACACACTGCCCATGGACCAGGGCTCCATTTAAAGCTCAGGTCTGGGTGTTTAATCCCTGCCTGAACTATCTAGTAGATGGATCTGCCTTCAGTTTGATCTCCTGCTTTGCTTCCTAGATGGATCGATATTGTAGCTCTGTCTCCAGTTGTGGCCTCCTGCTCCTCCTAATTGGATTCCTTGTACAAACTTTACACTGATTTGTTGCTTCATCGCGTCTAGGACTGTTAATGGAGCTGCACTGTGCTGCTCTGTTCAGGTATCGTGGCAAAGTGCTCTGGCTAGCAAGAATACTGCCTGTGCTGCAGCCACCCTCAGTTCCAGGCTTTTCCTTCCTCGAGCTGCTCCTTGAGAGCAACAGTGCTAAGGATAATAACAACAACAATGATACATGTAATGAAAAGGAGAGAAAGGAATAAAACCCCAGAAAAATAAGTAATGCACAATACTCTTGCTCACCAGCCACTGATTGATGCCTAGACAGTAGTTGCAGACTGGGGTTAAACTGTGTTAAGTGTTTCCTTCAGGTATTTCTTATATTGAGGGTAAATAGGGATGCCATGTGGCTGGTATGGACCGGGGCTGTAACAACGCTTTGCCTTATCCAGCTCATCCCCCGCCAGCCCCCTGCCCCAGGAGCCCCCCAGCCCCGGTATAACCGGACAGCCAGCAGAGCTGACAGTGCTGTCCCAGCGATGTCATCCCAGGCATCAACCCCTTCCGATGCTTTGAGTGTTTAATAGACTCAGTTCTAGCTATTTTCTAGTCACAGAAGCTGCTTTTCACTTCACAGTCAGAGCCTGACAGCAAATGTTTGCGTTGTCACATAGAGTGACTTTTGTGTGTCAGGGTACTCGGTGCTTGGATGGCTGCCATCGACCTTTATCTTTCTACACGCAGGCCGGGGAGTTGGTTTTTGTTGCCCAGTTTCTGCTTGGAAGAAGCAGATAGTCACAGGTGCCCATCACCGCGCGACAATTCCCTCCACCTCTACTCCACGTTTGCCCCGGTAAGGGATGACGAGCGGTCAACCCTGACACCGGCGGCCCTCAGGGGACGGGCGCTGCTCTGCGCCCCTTCCACTGGGCCACCGCTCCCCTGGCCCCGACTCCCTCCTCGGAGCCGGCCGCCTTTCCTCAGGCGCGGAGCGGCGCCGGTGGCTCGCCCGCTAGGCTCGCCCCGAAAGGCGGGCGACGCCGGTGCGGCGAGGGGTCGCGCCTTCCCGCCGCCCCGGGAGGAAGTGACATGTTGGCGGCGGCGGGGAGGGGAAGGGAGGCGAGGGGCGCCCTGTTGCCGGAGTGGAGCCGCCCGGCGGGTGGAGCCTGGCGGCCCCGCCCGAGCCGCCCGCCCGCTCCCGCCGCGTGCGAAGTAGTGGCAGCCGGTGCGGCTCGGCCGCCGCCCGCTCCCGGCGCCCCAGCGCGGCACCCGTGCCCAGGCCCGCCGGCGCCAGGTACGTGCTCTTCCCCTGGCGACCTGCGCGCTCCTCAGGTGCGGGGCCGCCCTCCCTCCTCCGCCTGCCGTGCTACCCCGGAGGAAAAGGCATCCGGACGCAGCCCCTCCCCGGCGCAGCCGCCCCGCGGCGCGCTGTAGCGGCGAGGCGAGGGGCCGGCTGCTGCCGGCGGGGCGCGGGATGTGGGCACAAGTTCCTTGACTTATTCGCCGCCGCCGCCCGGAGCCGCCGCGTCGTTTCTCCCGCGGGCGCCGGCAATTTTCCTGCCGCCCGCTGGCCCCCTTTGTGTGGCGAGCGCTGCCCGCGGCCGCCGGGGTTTCCGTGGAAACGGCGGAGCTACGGCGGCCCAGCCCCGCCGAGCTCCCCTCCGCCGGCGGCGCCTTCCACTTTCCCTTCGGTGTTCCCCGCTCGGGGCTGGCGGTGGCTGGGGAGGGAGGGGGCGGGCGGTGCGGTTGCCGTGGGAACGGGCGGGTGCAATCGCCTGCTTCGTGCCGCCTCCCCGAAGGCGCCGCTCCAGAGCGAGCGGGCGCGGCGAGCCCCGGTGGGAGCGGGCGGGCTCGGTCACAGCGAGCCCCAGTGGCGTGTCCGGAGCGGGCGGGCTCAGTCACTGGTCGGTCGTGGCGGCTGTTCTGTCCGCGGTACCTGGAAGTCCATGAGCTGAGGCGGAGGGGAGGGGCAGTCTGCCTCCCTGGTGATGGGCTCACGTGTTGTCGGAGCTCTGATTTCACCTGTGTGCGTATCTTCATGAAGATGTTTAAGGTGAATTAAATAACAGCCCCGAACTTAAAATGTGTCGTCTGATACCATGCGTTGAAGGATATTTAGCTAACAAGTTATGCTTTTTAGCATTTATGTCAACAAGTGAGCACTTACTCGAATGGCTGAAAGGACAACCCCACAAGAGAGTCTGTTTCAGCACTGTCGCACCGACTTCTGGTCTCTATCTTTGTTATGCGTTCCTAAGAGTTTTAAGTGTGCCGACATCTAAGCATGATCTACGTTAGGCAGGTGCTTGTGTGAGAGAGAGCAACCTTGCTGCTACATGAAAACTGAAAATGGTTTACAAGAGGTAGACGGCTCCAGAAACTCTCAAACAAAGAAACCCAAGTTTTTCTTTAAAAGCATTGATGTATCCCATTCAGGAAGTTGTATCAGGCAATTGTAGTCTCAGCTTGTACTGATAATGACTTCACACTAAGAGTGAGTAGCAAAAGAATTGAAAACTGGTGGAGTAGAGAAACCGTTGTGGAACAACTTAAGCCAAAATTTGTAGCCTTTTTTTTTCTCCAGCTTCTCACGTTCACAATAAGATTGCTGTAGACATACAGAGGTCTGTTTATATATACCTTCCTACTTGTGTATAAAGACTGACTGCATGGATCACTAGAATAGTTGATGTGTTCTAAATGTTTGCTGTCATTTACTGACCAGCAGCTTTCTGTAGCTGCTTGTATCTGATATAATGCCATGGTTTTCCAAATACTGTGGATTGAAACACATTTATTCACTTTAGAATTTTGTGTAAATATTTTGTATAGCTTTGCTCTTTCCTATGAATGTTTTGCATTAACAGTGCCTGAATAAGCTGTATTGAAAAGTGAAACTAACTGTGTTTTGTGGATGACAGAACCAAATTTCATGGGGAAGAATCTATTGGAAAGCCTGCAGTGAACAGAGAAACTGTTGCAAGCTGCTGATGGATAAAGGTTGCTCTTAAGCAAGGTTTAGTTGTGTTGTTGGCAAGCAGGTTTTAGTGAATGCTTCACAAAAAGCTGTAAGTAATATATTTTAGGAGTGGAGAAACTGCAGAGAGGTGAGCACTTGCCTAGAGTCACAGACCAAAGAATGGTGTGCCCAGAGGACAATAATGAACTGTGTTTCTTGAAACGTAGTAGGTGTCAGTTTGGTGGGGAGGTTGTTTTTTTAGTAAGTTATGTTCTGTCCAGCCAAATTGCAGAGGCACTGAAGCAGTGTTCATCTCTGGAGTGAGGCGTGCTCTGCTGGAGTGACAGTTTTACATCACTTACAGTTTAATGTACTTACTGTACCATAACAGAGGAGAGCTCTGTAGGAGAAGAATTCTCTGCAGGTGATGGATGAGAATCCTATGGCTGTATGCTGCCCTGCTGAAAAGGATTGGCTATTTTTTTCCGTTGTGTACCCTGTTTTTAATGCTAGAAGGTGAAGACTGGGAGTAATGCCCCTTGAAATCTCTTCATACAGGAAGACAGTGTCACAGCTGTGCTGAGGGTAGCAAGATACTGTTCTTGTGTTACAAATGAGCACTGTGGCCCTCAAAACTTGTATTAGTAATTTGGTCTTAAAATTTAAACATTCAAATTTCCACTGCACGACGTAGAACAGCACTTCCCTAACTAACAGCATCCCTGCTACTGCTGTTGGTATGTCCTGATAAGGGAGCAGATCAGCAAGAGGGCAACAATACATAGTAGTGCACTGTGCATATGCTTTGCTCAGTGAAAGCTTTTGCAACTGTGGGCCTCGCTCACAAGGGAAAATATTTTATGTCAAGGCAGTCATCTCTCAAGTGCGTTTGATTTTGCTGTGCTGAATGCAGTGGGCTTTCTTGTAAAGGAACTAGAAATGAGACTGACAGTGGTACCCTGTGTGCTTTGTTGTGTTTCAGCACTGGTATGTGGCAGCTGAGTATGTGTTTTTTCCCTGAAGTGCTTTGTCTGTGGGGTGGCTTTGTCCAGTGATTCAGTTTCAGGCATTTGGGAAAGTTTGCTCACCAATCTATTGTTTAGTGGTCTTGGGCTTATTCACATCTGACTGTGTGGTCAGTACCCTGATCACCTGTGACTAATGCTCCTGTGCTGCTCGGAAACTGCTGACTCACTTTGTTTTCATGGTTTTCCCCTTTCCTCCTCCACTGCTTCCAACTAGAGATGAGGTAGGGTCCAAGGTAAGGTCAGGGAAAGAGGAAATGGAAATTAATGAGAATAATTGTTGTGGCAAGGATGAAGATACTGCAAAGATCCCTCTTTGATAATGTGAGAAAAAGATGATGGCTGTAATAGATTTGCTGAAAAGGTACATAAGTCATGTGTTAGGAACTGGCTTAACAACTGTAGTGAACCCACAGTTGGGAGATGCTGGGTTGTGGTCCTGCTAGTGGTCTGCTCTTCAACTTGAACTTAAAGCCTTTTTATTTCTATGCCTTTGTTTTGACCTTCCGCCCTTCTGTCTGTCTTGTTACATTCTGCTAAGAAGAGCTTTACGCTGAAATAATTTTCTGCTGCTTGCAAAAGGGCTGACCTGGCTTGAGGTTTCTACTGTAGCATAAATAACAGGAACAGGGAAAGGCAATTAACCAGCTCTAGGCTGGAAAGAAGTCAGAGATAGAGGTCACTGAGAGAAGGTTTATTTGGCAGAAAGTAAGGAGCTGCAGGCAAAGACAAGCACACTGATTTCACTTGCATGTGGGACTGTTTATTAACATGTTAAAAATTTCTGACTTGTACCAGATTTCTTTTTAGTCAGACCAACAAAGTTAAATTTCAGTCATGTTTTTCCAGTAGCATCCATGTGAATGAAAAGGTTTTCTATGCTGATTCAGTTGCAGACTATGCAAGGTTTTTTACCTATCAGAGAAAAGGTAAGACTCAACTTAAAAACCTGCTGTTAAAGATAGGGAAAGAACATATTTGTGGGAATTCTATATGTAGAAATGGCACATGATTTCAAGTGACAGTTACTGTGTGAAAGTTAAACTGTGTCCTGCTTATTCCCCTGTCTCCACATTATCTGTGTTCTCACACATCATAGTTTGTCTCTTAACATGCTTTTCAGCACTTTGGAAAATACCATTACTGCAGATGCTGCTTTGCACTTCTGGAAGGTCTAGAAGGATTTTGTCTGCAGCGGGCTACACCCACACTTGAACCATTTATGAGGTTTTACTCCTTTAAGTCACAGGTGGTTGTCAGGGGTTAATATTGTGATTCCGTGTGTCACTGTAAGTTTTTTACATGCCTTTGCCTCTGACCGTTTGCATAAATACTGCATTTCACCCAAGATGGAGACAGAGAAGAGCTTCATTTTGAATTTTAAGCCTTGTAAAAGTGTCTCAAATATATTTTGAAGTTAGAAGGAGAAATTCTCAAAACCAGGCTTTTAAAAGGACTTGGGCTCCTGCAGTTGTTCAGAGGTGGTGTAGAAAATCCAAGTAGGCATTGATGTACTTAATGCTTAATTTAGTGCAAAATTTATGAAAATGTTACTGGATTCTTACAGTGTATTTAGTAACTGTTAGCATCTGCACACTTGCTATCCAGTAAAGTAAATGCTGCTGAATCAGGCACTATCTCAGAATGATTTTGCTGATGTTTAAGGTGGTTTTGACTAGCCCTGGCTTTAGGTGCTGAGAATACAAGATCATTGATTGGTTTGGAGTCATAATGTTTGGTAAACAACAAGGACTATTGAAGCTTGTTCAGAGATTTCCTTTGGCTTCAACAGGATTTGAATCAGGTCCAAAAAGAAACCTGCCTTTATTACTGGACTTGATAAATCTGGTGTTTGTGATAAAGGCTTTTATTCTCTGGAGTTCTTAAATTAAATCAGGCTGTTAGGGGACTGATGATCAGGGAGAATGAGGAGGTTGAAAGTATTCTGAGTTCATGGTGTGGCAAAATAGTTCTGAACACTCGTATCACATGAGGCAGAGGTGAGTGAAAACTGATGTAGAATGGAACTGCTGAAATATGGGTAAAGCTGTCACCATGTTTATTTGGGCTTTTACCTGGCATCTGGATGTCTGGTTGTTTTGCGTGTAGGTACAGCTGAGCTTTTCACTGAAGCTGGCATCTTATTTTTTGGAACCATGCCAACCACATCTCAGCTGTAAGATGTTTTTCCAGGTATTTGGTGTTACCTCTTAAAGGCAAAAATTGGTTTTCTTCAAATAATAAATCTGAGAGCTTCCCTGCCACTTTCATTCTTCAGTTAAACTATTTTCTACAGAAAGAACCATTAGA